AATTTACCCATAGCTTTCAGTGTACACAGTGAGAATAACGTCAAGTTGCTTTCTGAGTGGGTTCACAATTAAAGTGCGGCCTTTAATAATTAAAAACAGGTAGTTTTTAAAATGATATGTATCTTTAATTAGTTAGAAAATGAAGAAGCCGCATAATCGATTAGATTTTAATATCGATTAACAAAACCGAAATCTAGTTGGGAGGTCGATTAATCGATATTTTGTAATTGCCGGCGGCAAAGATTTAAACGGATTTTGAATTTATGATATATGCCTCTTTTTAACTTCATTAACATTTTACTTTTTAACTTTTAAGATAACTTTTAATCGGCCATTTAATATAACAGTTACGGGACTCAGTAAAGATGACCCTCTGTTAATCTATACTAAGGGATACTTAAAGATTAACTGCAGTTAGTGTATTGAATACCGTGAGGATAATTAAAGCTAATACATAAATTGTTACGCTAGAAATCTTCGGATACGTTTCATTCTTTCCCCTGGCAACTTGTAATTGGTATCTAAGTGTAGTGCGTGCACGAGGAACAGGGGAATGTAGGTAGTTAAATCCTGGCGGGTGGCAATTTGATGCGGTAGGCCGGTGGTGAACACGAGTGATGCAACGGTTAACTCGATGCCGTGTTATTATGTTGCCGCACAAACACGTGCCTTCGATCTGAAGCTTTGTATAACAGATAATGTTAACTTAATCTATGTAGAAAACTTCTGAACTTACAGACAGTCCGCTAAGTTAAGGTAAAAGTGTTGATGAAAGTTATACGGACAACTGACAATATTATTCGATGTAGAATGATCGGATTTTGCGATCTTCGCTGGACCTATAAATAATCAAGACCAGTGGAATTTAGCTTTTATAATACAAAGAATACTCTTCCAACATGATAATTTCGATCTGCCGACTCCCGCGAAGTTAAAAAGCGTGAAATTATGATGTAATTGAAATTACTTGCAATTTCTATATATATATTTGTGTACAACAAACAAAAGCACTCAAAGTCATTGTTACAACAAAACAATTAGTTGCGACATCGACACCGGCCGATTTGTTACGCACGCTACGGCTCTGCAGATTCTCCGACCTTGGCTGCACATTCTTTAACAAAACAACAATAGTTTTACCAACAGTCAAAACAGAATATGTCGCTACTTCTAAAGAATAGAGTTCAAAATCTAATACAACTGTAACAACAGCTGCATTTATAACATTGTTTACCAAACCAAAGATTGTAGAACGATCGTGATATCATCATTTGAAAGACACACAGGCTATTATACTCTGGTTATCGATGTATGTGAATAGCATCGAAATTACAATTCATGTATTGAAATCATTCACAATTTCGATGCTGGGAAGTATTGCAATAAGAAATAATAGCTCATTTTAACGATGGAACTAAACGGTAATTGAATTTTCTCCGCTAATTTCTTACAAGTTTTCTTGCAACAATTTGTGAAATGTTTATAACGAGATGGGAATTTAACTACTTACTAAAGCAGAGTAAACTATAAGAACGTATTTTTCTTAATTTGGACACTTGATTATTGTTTATACAGCGATGTTACACAAAATTGAAGATGCGTGTTACGTATTAATGCTACAAGCTTTTCCTCTGGCAGTCACGAAGTCCTGTACCGGCAGTTTATTATGATTATAGCTTCCAGCTATATGTTAAGAGAAAGTTAAATGTTAATGAGACACTTCTAAAAATGATACTACAAAACCCTAAGCTTGTATTTCAGCAAAATATTTTTTTCACTTTACAACTGGGGTTTAAATGTAATTCTTGTATAAACATTTTGTCGTCCCCTATTATTTACGAAACAAATGAGATATATGCTTTTGTCCTTGTCAGTAGTGAAAACTAACTGTTATTGTAATTTGCTTACTAGTGCAGCAGTGTACTAAGAATTCATAGAACATAAAGTTCATGACCATTTTGTAATTGCGGAGCGGCCGCGCCCTGTCGGGGCTAAGGTGGCTTTTTCGTAATCTAATATCTGTCTGCACGTACTCAATTGTATTACTATTTGAATACTGTAAAAACCTATTCTATGTTGGTAAGCGACAAAGGTAACCTAAAATAGGGTTGAGTTTTGAACTTGTTTTAATGGGTTTTGTGGATTTTTAAAACGTTTAAAGCATTGATTGCGAATTTTTAGTACGAACGTTAAATAAATTAAATAATATATGTACTTCGTTAACTTGTTTCTTGTAAATTGAACTCGCAAGTCGTTTTCAATATGTAAATCAAATTACTCAAGTAAATAAATAAGTAACTAAAGCATAATAATAGATTAATCGTCACTTAAGGTGGAAATTGAACCATTTAATAGTTAATTCGTGATAAAAAGATTACAAGTACAAGCTTTTATAAAAACAGACAAATAACATTGAACTTTGTATAAATGTGCTATAATTCATAACAATTAAAACTAAAGTTAACACCCAGAGGTGTAAAGGCGTTGTTTTAATGTGAACCAGTTCAAAGAATTCCTTTTTTATAGTCCACCTGACCTTTAACGAGGATATACCGTGGTTGTTCAAGAACAACTATAAAATGTTCTAGGAAACTAGAATTCTCTTTATTTATAACACTAGCTGTTCCCGTGCGGCTTCATCCGCATCAAATTATGAATGTTTCATTTTATTGTTTACATTTGTCAAATTATCAATAGCAAATGTCAAAATGACATGACATGACAAACCTTAGCAATCATGCTTCCTTGATATTGGCGGCAAATTATGGTCTCTTTCGCACATTAAGGTTTTTATCCAAAATATTTACCCTCTTAGTTTAATGGCGTGAAAATATATAGCCTACAGCGTGACGTAAGTATAGGGATTTTTATTAAAAAAAGGATTATTCAAAAATATACTGTAATTGCTGACATCTTAGGCAACAAAGAAGTGTGTGTTTACGCTTTATTATAATAGTATAGATTGGAATGTGGATTTGACTGCCAATTATCTTAGCTTGATATTAAAGTGTTAAAAATTATCAGGTTGGAATGGTACTTTCACTTCATGTGTCTGTGTGGTCGTGGTATTGCATCTATATAGCTTGCTCTTGCTAAACGTCATTAAGTACTCTGCCACTTTAACTGCACACGCACGTTAAATGCAAGTTTAAAGAATTAATATGATCAGATAACAGTCGCAGTTTAAATTCTGGTAGTGGCTACAGTACATTTGGCTTTTTGAATTCCGCCTCGAGCTGACTATGGTAAGCTTATCTAAGCCTATAAATGTCAAGAGTGACAAGTTAAGGCGCCCTCGCGTCGGACAATGGCAGCAATATCAAACAATTTACAATGCCGTAAAACTGCAACTCGCCTTTAAACCCGGATAATGGTCCTTTATCAATACTCATTCAAATGCTTTAAACTGCATTTGTTTCATCTTGGGGTTTTAAATTGATTTTATGTGACTGTCCATCTTTAAATCGTATTCCTTTGCATTTTATTCAATGATGAAACTCTTCCTTATTTCTCTAACACTTTCAATGCCAAGGATACTTAAACAATCGTAGTGGCCTGTGGCACTAAAAGTGTTGACAATACTTTCGTTATATTTTTTTAAGATTAATATTTTGCATATCTATAAAATGATAGTGATATATTACCGAAGGTCGTACGACAAAGTGGCCGTGCGACCTTACCGGCCGGCTAACGAGCGTGCAATGGCAAAGCATGCGACCCTACCTGTTAGCACTATCGCCGATCTAGGCATGTGCCGGCAACGCGCAGATTTATCGACATTGCCCTCTGCCCGAACTGATGCTGTTACTTCCCAACAACCATTAAATCTATCGATATTTTGCAGCAATCCGCGCAGTTATAATGATATATTTATAGTTCAATTTCAGAACAGTTAACGTTGGAATCCGTTTCATTGAGAAAATGATTAATTTTAATTACACTATCGTTATAACACAAGAGAAATTAAAAGAGTTACATTAATTGATAACCTCGTATCAATAACTTGGACACAAAGATATGATTGGTTTGAAACATTTGGTTCTGTCAAGAAAGGACAAAGGGAATGTTGAGAAAAATTTTGACATTACTTTTTTTCTATTCTATACTATCATAATAAAGCGTAAACACATACTTGTTTGTTGCCTAAGATGTCTGCAATTACAGCATATTTTTTAATATTTATTTTTATAATAAAAAGCCCTACACTTACGTCACGCTTTAGGCTATGTATTTAACGCCATTAAACTTAGCGGGTAAATATTTTGGATAAAAACCTTAATGTGAGAAAGAGACCATAAGTTGGTGAGCAAGGTTGTCATCAGGTCATGTCATTTTGACATTTGTAATTGATAATTTGACAAATGTAAACTATAAAATAAAATTTTCATAATTTCATGCGGATGAAGTCGCACGGGAACAGCTAGTTAACATTGATTTTTCTTCGCAGAAAGTAACCATAAAATAACACCAAAGCGTAACAGTTTAGAAGTAGTGCAAAACGTTAGAGGTCTGCCAGACTAACTGTAGTTAGGAGCAGGTGTTCTGGTTAGTGATGATTACACGATACTTATCGACACTAGATTCCGTCTTAAGGTACAACGCACAATAAACGTTTTCCGTCGATGATTTAATATAACTTAGTGCCGGATGACCTTTAATAGTTACTAAAAAACGCACGTGTTTTATAGACCAAAAGAAAGATTTAAAAAGTCTTTTGTGAGGTAAAATAAAATGTTATCGATACTAATAATATAAAGAGGGAATAACTCAAAAACTATTAGGCCGATTTCAAAAAATCTTACACCATTAAAAAGCTACGTTATCAGTGAGTTACATAGTATGTTTATTATTACTTTTAATTTCACGCGGACAAAGTCGCGACCAACAGCTAGTGTTTCAATAATTTAATTATCGATTACTGTCGGCTTATTAGTAGTTTTGAGTGGTTTTAAAGTATTATTATTAGATTACTTATGTAATAGCTTAAATAAGAAACTTACTTTATTTCCAGTGTAGGTTCTCCCTAAGTAGTCTAACTGAACTGCAATCGTTTGTTCTTGTGTTTATCTGTAAGGAAATACGTTCTTGTTACAAGTGAGACTTAACATTGGGTTGAACGGTAATTAACTTACATTATACTTGTCATTACCTTCAACACTAATAGAATAATAAGAAAGGGTAGAAGCGTTTAAGGTTTTCTCGGAACATCGAGTTATGGAATTTATTATTGACTAAAATCTTTTAAACAACTTGCTTAAAATAGGAAATTACAAATTGTCAGTAAGGCAGCAAATCACCAGAAATGGTGTTGCTAGAATAATCCGTGCTTTTATGTCAAGAATTTATTAATTTCGAGTAAATAGTTTTATTTATTAGACTCGAAACACTTTCTTTCATACATTCAAATAGTTTATCTACAGTTGCAAAATAAGTTTAAAGCTATATAATTGTAATGCCAGGAGTAACCTTAAATCGATACTAGCCCATCGTTAGTAATGGCATGAAATACAATTATCGACTGGCAACACAGTCGGAGGGTTGTTTTATGATGGCCAGCAGCAACGGTATCTACTCTTTGTTTTTAATAGTGTTGTCAAGAGTTATCGATATGCTTTAGATCAGAGATTCTCAAACTTTTTCTAGAGGAAGCATTAAAATATTTTCTTCTACAACTTGCGACCCCTTACTTTCAATTAATTCTACAAGATTGCCGGGTTTTCCGTAGACCCTAGGGTGTCCTGGACTACTTTGGGGATCACTGCTCTAGATAGAATATCGATAGTTTAGATTGTCGATGTTAAATTATCTTCCAGATTAACTGTTTCAGTTGTAGTGATGTCCGTTACAATTTATCGATTGCAATGCTGTTAATCAGACTGGATAGATGCCATATATCAAGTGTTGATAGCTTTATGTCCTGTTTTATTGACAGTACATGAATACATGTTTATAACTATAACTGTAAGAGAGCTGTCTCAAAATAATTTATTTATGTGTTAGAAAGTTATAGTATACTAGCCGTTGCTCGCGACTTCGCCCGCGTGAAAATAAAATAATAATAAAAAACATAGCCTATGTTAGTCACAAAAAATGATCTTTCTAAGGAAGAAAGAATTTATGAAATTAGCCCAGTAGTTTTTGAGTTATTTCAATGCATACAAAAATACAAAAATACAAATCTTTCCTGTATATTAGTATAGATAACGATAGTAACTATGCGAAATTTAAAGAAAAAAATATCAAAAACCTTAACTAATTATTGATGTTTTCTATAGATTTACTTACGGAGACCAATTTAGATAAGTGAAGTGTGAAGTACAAAACTAAATTTAGTATACTAAATAATCTACCGATTAAACTACATATGTAACAAACATTCCAATTAACTACGAGTACTATGTTTAATTTGTCATTTATCGATATTTTAATTGACATCTCTAGAGTAACAAATGAAATGAATTTGTCCGAGACGTTCATCGCAGGTGGCCACTTGGAGTGATCAAACAGCTCCCTCGTGACTCAGCGGTGGGTGTGCCAGATAGCTTAGTTAGCTAGATTCGATCTCAGTTAGATCAATGTTTATAATGTATCTGTAACTTGAGAAATAAGTTGTTGGGGATGATCTAATGACGTTTAAAGTCGGTCAAATTGATCTAACTTATAGATTCTATCATTGATCAAGAAGTAGTAGAAAATAACAAAAAAAATCTTGTATTATTTTAATAACTACTATTAAAATGTTACGAGTGAGCGCACAAATTTAACTAAACTATCGCACAAATGTTGTGCGATTGATTTGTAGCCAATTTAAATGTTTATTTGCTCAACTAAAAATCGAGTAGTGTGCGCACTTCCATATAATTTCATAGGAATGAAAGTAGGACTAAACGGTTTTGCGATAGTTTAGTCAAAACTTGTGCGCGCGCTCTAATTATAAAATTATATTTTGCTAGCGAAATTTTCCTTTGACAGAACAATATTCTCCTTAGTAAGATGCCCTTCTAATTAATCGATTCAATGTCTCCAACCTACGCCGTATTTCAGAATACTTTAGGTCCAAATAAGTCATTAGTGGTACCGGGCGTGTCTACGCTTAATTGGTAGTCATGTATCGCACCGTGTAGCTGGCTTGCAGATGTCAGCAGTTTCATGGTACAGGGAAATCGCTTTTAGTAGACATTTTGACTGCGTTAATTGTAAATTGTTTACGAAACAAGTAGTTTATTAGTATTGTATGGACTTAGAGGTAAATCATTAGTTGCATCGAATTTATTATTGAGTTTTATAAACAAAAAAATGTGAAAAATAGCTTAAAGTTTCTCTCAACGCACTAGGGAGTAATCTTACTAATAATATGAATGCGAAAGTTTGAATGGATGGATGGATGGATGGAAGGATATTTTTATAGTTTATATCCTAAAAGGCTGATCGAATCACGATTGCATTGATTGCATTGATGTAGAAAACAGTCGGGAAGAACACATAGGCTACTCACTTTTGTTTTTTAATTCCACGCGGACGGAGTCGCGGGTGAAAGCTAATACAGTAATAAATAACATATTGTGATATATTGTTTAGGTCAATGAAAGAAAACTTTTTATATTTTAGAATATTGTAACACCAATAGAGGTATTTATGTTTGGGGCAATGCCCTCAAATGGCAAGGGCTTAACCACCTGCGAAGACAACGGAGTTAAACGGAGCGTAGTCTATCTGCAGACTAGATAACGGTGCACAATGATAAACCGCCCGCGGATCGCGCTCCGCAACGCCACGGAATTGGGTCGGAACCGAACCAGCTACCAATCATTTTGGACGACGATGTTGACAAGACTGATTTGGAATTTCTAAAAAAACGTCTGTACTTTTAGTACACGTAATAAGTAAAGAAATGTAAATTGTGGTGATAATCCTTGCAATCAAAAATGTTTGCTTCTTATATTGACAATCTTTACTCGCAACCTTCACGTGCACTTCGAGAGGTAAATACCATTTATTGAATAGCACGAAATCGTTGTTCATTTTTTAATGATTTAAGTTACTAACAAATAATAATTGTAATTTGAATTTTTGAGCACAGAACAGTTGTCATTAGACACTCGAGCGATGCACATTGGTTGTGCCCGCGTATAAAGTCAATCAGTGAATCTCTGTAAATCTTTAGATAGATAGTGTTGTGCAGTTTTCACGAAAGATTGGCTGTATTTTTGATATTACAGGATTGTAATTTCAGTATCTCCGATATGCGCACGTCCACAATGGAGGATAAGTTACCGTGTCTATGATCTACCTTCGAAATTAAATTCTGAAAACCACTCACCACTCCGACATATTCAAAATGTTCAGATTGGTTTTAAGGATATAAAAATATTTCCAAGAACTTCGTTGTAATCAAAACTATCGTTAAATAAATAGATGATTAATAAAGTAATTTGTTTATGTTCTTTATTATGGTAATGATGATACGTTACGATTTTTAAATTAAGAATGATTCCAAGATGGCGGATACAAATTATGTTTCTGATAAAATTAAAACAAACGACGTCTCAATTAACATTAATGTCATAGATTTTATTGATATAATTAATCATTGAAATTAGTATGATTTCAGTAAAGATAGTAAATAAAATGTTATACTAATAAAACAATCTCTTGTAGATGTTAAAAGTGTCCTCGCTTGATTTCAATTAGATATTTATCTAGAAAACATAAGTTGTCACGTTAGATGTAAGCAAAATCAAAATGGCGATGTTTTTAAACATTCATGTATAAAAAGTCTATTAAATTCAAAACATATCGTGCCAATAATTTGTATTGGCATCACAAACTATAAAATGCGGAAGTAATTAATCGTTTTTTGTTCATACTACTATGTCTGGAAAAACTATAAACAAATCGAGCAATGATTGCGTCTACGTATTGTACTAAATCACTGGCTTTAATTTTACATTGATAAATGTTAACCGACATAATTGCTTATTCGATTAGAGGCAATAAAATGTGTGGTCTAAAGTACACACCTCATAATAACAGTTTACTAGAGTACAAATTACTTGAACCTGTAATAGTATAGTTTCCAGGATCCTATTATAATTGCTTATTCAAAACAACCGATCGAAAACAAAGAACTAAAACATGATGAAATAAATCAAGACAAGTTGCAGTGTAATTCTCTTGTTTTCACACATTACAGTAAATGAAATGAATATCAAAAATAAGAGGGAAGATTAGTATTTTTGTATGTATTGAAATAACTCAAAAAATACTATGCCGATTTTAAAAATTCTTTCACCATACGAAAGCTACGTTATCGCTGAGTAACGTAGGGTACATTTTTAAATTTAACGTCGACGAAGTCTCGAGAAACAGCTTCTTAATAATAAAGTCTAGAATGATTCGTTATCAAAATCGCGGATAACTCCTACCTTGTACCACAAGTTCAACACAAGGCCGTACTCCGTGGGAACCTCACTGGCCCAATATATTCCACTTCATCGTACACTGCCTGCATTAACTATATTGCGCAATTGCCGTACTTTATTGATAGCGATATCAAACAGGACACGGATATTCTGTTATGATCTAGTAGGGTAGGTTTCATACATGCGATAGTTTACGGCCGAATACTGAAACGTCATTTAAATCTAATGGCGTCTTTGATAGCATCACTTAAACTCAAAATACCTTACAAATGACGTACATCAGATTGTAAGCGGAGCTTACGCAGCGAAGTATTTACGACTAGCTGTAGCTCGCGACTTCACGCGCTAAATAAAATATAGCTTATGTTACTCACTGAAAACATAGCTTTTTAATGGAGTGAGAATTTTTAAAATCGGCCAAGTAGTTTTTGAGTTATTTCAATACATACAAATCTTTCCTCTTCATAATAACGGCATAAATTCGTTTTAATATTTGGCTGTTAGATTGTCGTAATGGTAGTGATTCCAATAGTTTCACCTCCGAATGTGGTTCTTGTCACTTCCCAAGTCCTTATGTTTTAGGATCATCATTAGGTGATGCGTAATTAACTGCCTAACACTTGAGGTTACCTAGACTCACTACGC